ATATGATTTACATACCCGAAACGGGTACGGATGACGCCGGGGGGGTAGAGCCTATTCCCTTTTTAGATAGGAGAATCTACGTCCTGCAACATATGCTGCGCAAGGCATGTTATGCAAAAATTGTTGTGACATATGTCTTCTCCAATGTATGTTGTGCAATCTCTGTGGTACAACTTGTGTTGAGCAGTCGATTTTGGTACAATTAACGTCATGCACTCTACGAGGAACAACATATGTGGTGCAATCTATGTGGTGCATTTGATGTTTACCAATGATTTGACACATCCCATGCTCTTGTAAACATCCCACCCACCCACCCGCAACTTGGTTTGCAAAACCTCTTAAGACCGACTACGACGACACCGGCGACAACGACTACGACGACGCCGACGAAGTCTCCGACGACTTCGACGACGACGACAACGACACCGACGACGACGACAACGACGGCGACACCGACGACGACGACGACGACGACGACTCCGACGCCGACGATGACAGCGACAACGATGACGATGCCGACGACGACGACGCCGACGACGACGACGACGTCGACGACGCCGACGACGACGACGGCGGCGACGACGACGACGACCTCGACGACGACGAAGACGACGACGACGACGATGCCGACGACGACGATGAAGACGACGACGACGTCGCCAACGAAGACGACGACGAGAGAGGAGGGAAGACGACGACGGCGACAACGACGACAACGACGACAACGAGGAGGGAGGTGGGAGGGCGGTGACGGCGCGAACGACGAAGAAGGACGAAGGTCGGCGACGCCGACGACGACAACGACGAGGGACGAGGGAAGACGACGACGACAACGACGACGACGACGACGACGACGACGACGGCGACGAAATAGGAGAGACGACGACGAGACGCCGACGACGGACGACGACGACGACGAGGGAGGAGGAGGAAGGACGACCACGGCGACAACGACGACGGCAATGACCACGACGCCAACGAGGACGACGACGACGATCACGAGGAAAGACAGAGGAAGACGTGGGCGACGGCGACGACGACGACGCGGGATGAGGGAGGACGGCGACGACGACGACGACGACGACGCAAGAGCGCGCGCGCACGCTTTTGTTGAAAACTCTTTTTGGACCTTGTGTTTTTGTAGTTGCCGAACCTTGTGGTTTTGTAGTTTTTTTGGGACACACGATGTTGAAACCCTTCCGACACCGAAGGTTTTTGAAGGATTTCAGCATACGCGCGCGACGACGCGCGCGTCTGCACTTCGTCCAATTTGTTGCAGGGGATTCCCGCGACGGCACACGCGCAAGGGCGTTCGACAGATTTCGACATGCGCGCGCGAAGCCTGTTTGGTAGCATGTTGTGCAAATCTTGAAAAAAAAAACCTATGGTATTTTTTGATTTCGCAAGAGCTCGCGCGTAAGCTGTTTTTGCATATCAGTGTTGCGAAACCTTGTGTGTTTTGTATGTTTGTGGGGAATCTCGATTGCGCGAAGGTTTTTGAAGGATTTCGGCATGCGCGCGCGACAAGGGATTTGTGAACAAGTTCTATGCTAGAGCAAAGCATGTCCCCGCGTATTGCTTTTCACCAGGGAACCTCAGAAAAGGTGGTCGATACTGCCCCCCCGGGGATAGTGTAAAATCATATTCAGGGTGGCCATATGGTCATAATCATACATGATTTACATACCCGAAAGGGGTGCCGACAACGCCCGGGGGGGTAGAGTCTATTCTCTTTGTAGAAATAAGAATCTATGTTGTGCAACGAATTTCTGTTCGCAGTGAGTTGTCCACTCCACTGCTCGAGCAAACATCCCACCCATCCACCCGCAACTTGGTTTGCAAAATCTCTTAAGGCCGTGACGGTGGGTACCACAGGGCACTTGGCAACGACAGCGACGCCGACGACGACAGCGACAACGACGACGACGACGCCGCCGACAACGACTACGACGACACCGACGACGTCTCCAACGACTTCGATGACGCCGGCCGACGACGACGACGACACCGACGACGACGACGACGACGACGCTGTCGCCGACGACAACGACGACGATGACAACCACGACGACGATGACGACGCCGACGACGACGACAACGACGACACCGACGACGACGACGACGACGTCAACGACGCCGACGACGACGACGACGACGGCGGCTTTGACGAAGACGCCGATGTCGACGACGACAAGACGACGACGACGCCGACGCCAACGACGACGACGAAGACGACGACGACGTCGCCAACGAAGACGACGACGAGAGAGGAGGGAGGACGACGACGGCGATAACGACGACAACGACAACAACGCGGAGGGAGTTGGGAGGGCGGTGACGGCGCGTACGACGAAGAAGGAGGAAGGTCGGCGACGCCGACGAACGACGAGGGACGAGGGAAGACGACGACGACGACGACGAAATAGGAGGGTCGACGACGAGACGCCGACGACGGACGACGACGACGACGAGGGAGGAGGAGGAAGGACGACCACGGCGACAACGACGACGGGAACGACCACGACGCCAACGAGGACGACGACGACGAACACGAGGAAAGACAGAGGACGACGTAGGCGACGACGACGACGCGGGAGGAGGGAGGACGGCGACGACGACGACGACGACGCAAGAGCGCGTGCGCGCACGCTTTTGTTGAAAATCCGTGTTGCGAAACCTTGTGTTTTTGTAGGTTCCTTGAACACACGATGTTGAAATCATTCCGAAACCGATGGGTCTTTGAAGGATTTCGGCATACGCGCGCGACGACGCGCGCGTCTGCACTTCGTCTAATTTTTTGCAGGGGATTCCCGCGACGGCACACGCGCAAGGGCGTTCGACAGATTTCGACATGCGCGCGCGAAGCCCGTTTGATAGCATTGTGCAAATCTTGAAAAACCTTTGGTATTTTTAGAGTTCGCAAGAGCTCGCGCGTAAGCAAGGTTAGCCAATCAGTGTTGCGAAGCCTTGTGTTTTTGTATGTTTTTGGGGGAACTCGATTGCGAAATCCTTCCGACACCGAAGGTTTTTGAAGGATTTCGGCACGCGCGCGCGACGGCGCGCGCGTGTGCACTCCGTCCAGATGTTTTACAAGGGACTCGTGAAACAAGTTTTATGCTAGAGCAAAAAACCCGCGTATTGCTTTTTTTTACAAGAGAACCTCAGGGAGAGCGATAGCGGCCCCTCGGGACAGTGCAATTTCAAATTCAAGATGGACATGTGGTCAGAATCATATTTGATTTGCATACCCGAAAGGGGGGCGGATAACGCCCGGAGGGGGGTAGAGTCTATTCCATTTTAAGAAAGGAGAACATATGTTGTGCTATCTATGATGTGCAATCGATGTGGAGCAGTCGGCGTGGAGCAATGTAGGTGGTGCAATACATGCGTCGCAGTCGTCTTTGCGGCGACGATGCGGCGACGGGGCGGCGACGGCGACCTCGGGGCGGCGACGGCGACCACGGAGCCGCCAGACCGGCAGCCAGGCACAGACGAACGGCGACGAGGCGGCAACGGAGCGGCGACGGCGACAGCGAAGCCGCAAAACTGGCAGCCAGGATCGATGTCCCCTTAGATCAACACGTAAGAGCCCCAAGTGCAAGCATTGTGCGACGAGTCGGCGAGCAGCCAGGCCAAGCTGCCTTAGCGTAAGAAGTCAGATGCCCCCAAGTGCAAGCATTGCCTGGGGACAAATCGCACGTTGGCTGATTGTGACGTGCGCGCGCGGCGGCGCGCGCGCGTGTGTGTTGATCTTGTTACATCATTCGGCATGGTTTCTTCAAACAAACGAGTGCGCGCGCACTGTTCTTGTTGACAAGGACGACGGGGGGAGTCGATACCAGACACCGGCCCTCCTGAGGCGAGGAAAACTGCCAGCGAGGCAGAGTCGTGAACCAACTGCACTACGAAAGTGGGGAAGGTGAACCTCGAGTTCGAGGTGGTGGTGGAGTCTGTTGATCTTCCGAATAGAGAATTGCTTTGGCGTAAACTGTGTGGGCATCCTGAGACGCGAGCCAGCGCACGGGGCAAAAAATCGGATCTGCCAGCCAGCGCACGGGGCGGGCACGCGGCCAGCACCAGCAACAAAAATTCGGAACCAACACGGCCAGCGCGCGGGGCTGGCACGAGGCAGGCACGGCCTGGTATTGGGCGAGCAAAACCGGAACACAAGGCCATGGCACGGGGCGGGCGCACGGGCTGGCACTGGGCGAAAAGCGGGAACACACAGCCAGCTCACGGGGCGGGCATAGGGCGGGCCCAGGAGGGAAGCAGCCAGTGTGCGCGGGATCGCCTTGGTGGCAGGTGGTTTTGGGAAGTCGAGGTGCTGCCGTCGGCGTCGCGGGGGAACGCGCCGAATGCGGCAGGGCGTCTGGGGCCCCCGGGGAGCTGCAACCGCGCATGTTCCGCGCCCTTGCCTGTGCGAGCTCCGTTGCCGTCGGAAACCTTTGGCCCGCGCGCCGGTCCACCGCCTGGAGAACCGATGTCCAGGACCTTCGGAGGCAGCGGACATGGACATATGATCCAGGGCTCCGGGCACCACCCCCCCAATGCTTATGGGATCGGTCCCCCCCCTCCCGCTGGATTGGCACGCGCATGACCCTCGCGAAGGCTTCGCGTATCGGATCGCTCCCCCCGCCCCCCCCTTGTGGTCGTGGCCCTGTGGCCGCGGCGTGGCGGAGTGGGGGGGACAGGTGCCCCCGCCCCTCCCTTGTGGGTGTGGGGTGGTGCTGCGGTGCTGTCGTCGTCGTCGTCGTCGCCGTCGCCGTTGCCGTCGCCGTTGTGGTCGTCGTCGTCGTCGTCGTCGTCGTTGTCGTCGTCGTCGACGTCGTCATTGTCGTCGTCGTCGCCAATTTCGTCGTCGTCGTGGTGGTCGTGGTCGTGGTCGTCTTCGTCGTCTTCGTTCATCTTGTGATTGTTGTTGTTGTTGTTGTTGTTGTTGTTGTTGTTGCCGTCGTCGTCGTCGTCGAAGTCGTCGTTGTCGTCCCCCTCATTTTAGTCGGGGAGGAGGGGGCCTGTGGAACTCTGCAACCCATCCCATCCGGGGCATGGGGGCCTGTGAGCCCTCGACCAGGGATCATGCATGTTGTTGGCCCCCCCAGTGCCCCGGGACATCGGTTCTCCAGGCGGTGGATGTGCACAAATTCTGGCCTCGGAGATAACGAGCTCCATCGGCGCCGATGTGGCGGTGTTTTGGGTGAACGATTTGGGCGAGGAGAGCCCTACCGACGTCATAATCAGTCCTGCCGAGGACGGCTTGATCAGCACGTTCACTGGGCACGCGTTTCGGATACGCACGGACGACAGTGCCAAGACGCTGGTGGCGGAGCTCGAGGTCTCGGAGACGACGGCAAGAGCGAACGTGGCGCCCTGCGGCGTCGTCCCGCCTGTCCAGGCTAATCGGCGAGACGCCCGCAAGAGCGAGCTGGATGGATTGGTGCACGACCAGTTTGCACCGTGCGACCCCCCTGGCAAGTCGGGCCTGTGGTCGTGTGTCCGCAAGATCCCCAAGGAGGAGTACTCCCAGCGGCTGGCCGATCCGCCACCCGAGTACGGCTTCGCGAACAAGGAGGAGGCGGGCGGGCGGAAGGTGCACGAGCAGTGGGACTACGGCTACACGGGGCATATAAGGCAGGTGCCGCGCGTGGCCAATACGTCGGGTTTCCTCAAGATGTCGTTCACCAGTAAGCTGAAAGATATCCTGATGCCTTTCTGGAAGGATTATGGGATTGGTGGGGTGAAGGATTCAGTGGCGCCCCACGGGGTTATCGCAGGGGGCTACACGAACAGCCACACAATCCCAATGTCGAAGTTAGACCTGGACAAACACCGCGACATCCAGCGAAAAGTCCACATGGAGTTGAAGGATTACCTGGAGTGGTGGACGGGCAGGCCGCTCACCCACACCTCCACGTTCGGGATCCGCATTTATCACCGCGGGTCTATGCTCATAGACCACGTGGACCGCGCGGACACACACCTGGCCAGCGCAGTCATACAGGTCGGCCAGGATGTCGACGAGGATGGCGGATGGCCGCTGGAGGTCATCGACGAGGAAGGCAACTGCTTTGAGGTGTACCTGCAGCCTGGGGAGCTAGTCCTGTACGAAGGTGGCCGCTTTCGACACGGGCGGCCCATGCGGTTCAAGGGGAACCACTTCGCCAACATCTTCAGCCACTTCGCGCCCCTCGAGTGGAAGGGTCCTGGCAAGAGCCCCAAGTTTGACGGCCACCTCGACGAGCATGGGTGGTTGCTGTCAGACGAGGACGAAGTGCAGCGGCATCTCGAGATCTGAGCAGGGCCCCCAACCGTTGCCAGGCGGTTTCCGGGCTAGCGGCAAGGCTTCGGCGCATCTCGGCCTCCACGACCATACCATACGTCGACGAGCATGAGCGGCTGCTGTGGAAGCGGGAAGTGGGTGGGTTTTGGTGGAGCGTGGAGGGGGGGTTGGGGGGGACGAAAGAGGGTGTTGGGTCAGTGGGAGGGAAGGGCGGGTGAGGTTCAGGGAAGCAGGAACATGAGGAGGCGAAGCAGGAAGACAAGGACGAGCAGGAGGAGGGTAGGATGAGAGGCGCTTCGCATTCCTCCTCCTTCCCGTGCTCCTTCTGCTTCACTGCCCTCAGTGCCTGTAGTGCCACTAGAAGCATGGCTCAACCACGTTCGGATTTCTACATACGACAAAGCTCTTCTGGTGACCACCATGGTCGCTGAGCTGCGACGCTGGCCGATTACCCATAAATGTGGAAACACTGCGTCGCAGCCTGCAATTCTGACGTGCAGGCCAGCACTCCTCCTCCTTCTCCTCCTCCTCCTCCTCCTCCTCCCCCTTTCTTCTCATCCTGCTTTCCGTTCGAGTCCCTCCTGCACCTCGTCCTTCCGCTCGTCCTCATCATCCGAGACGACGAGGTTGAGGAGCAACAGTTCGAGCGCACGGAGTTCGTACCACGGGGAATAATCGCAATGGAAGGAGGGCTTCGCGGCCCGCAGATGTATCAACGGTTTATGTCGCATGGGGGTGTTGTGGTACAAGCTCATCTTCGGCGTGGGCCCACGGATATGGTTCCAGATCGGGAGTTTGGGTATCATCACGGACGGGACCGCGAGTGTGCGTTGACGTGCCAGGAGGCGTTGTTGTGGCGGCTGCACGGCGAAGGAGGACATGGCGAATGCGTTCGGGTGATCTACGTTTGCCTCGTTGCGATCGACAGTCGAGAGCTCGATCAAGGAGGACTCGCAGTACTACTTCCACCAGCGTCAGCAGACGAGCACGTTCACGATTGTGGGCTCGGACGGGGAGCAGACGACGCACAACCGCTGCGGGGCCTTCATGGGCGACAGCCCGGCGGGCGGTGTTCTTCGCACGTGCCTTTCGGCGGCTTGCGCAGAGGTGATTGGATTCGAAGAAGAAGAGTGCACATAAGCATGAACTTTTGGCACTCCGCGCGGATTTCTTGGATCCGCGCTGGGCCCCCCCAGCGGCGCTTCCGGCGCCGCCCCTGGCTCGCTCCGCGCGGCAGGCAGGGTTTTCCGGCGCGGATCTAAGAAATTCGCGCGGACCTCTAAAAGTTTATGCTATTTCTTCCTCTATGGATGCTCGTTGCTCCCTCAAGTGGCATGGGCGGCCGCCGTCGCGGCTAGCTGCGTAAGGGGAGCGGATGGACCAGGAGCCTGTGCCGCAGGTGCCGCCGAGCAATCCGTGAGAGCGTGGTGTGGCGCCGAGCGAGGCCCTGTGCACGGCATGGGTGCCCATCCTCCAGCGCCCCATGGACTTGGCGTGCAGGAGCTACGCCGACGACTTGGGTCGGCCCATTCGCTCTGCAATGAGCCATCACCTTGAACCCCCCCGCCGCCGAGATGCTTACGCATCATCGTAGCAGGCCTAGGTATGGCCGTGTCGATGCCTCGGATGCCTAGGCATCCGCATGGGTATTCTTACGCATGCATCGAGGGATGCGTCCATGGGCCTAGCTGGACGTAGCTTAGCGTAGCCGATGCCTACGCATCGACCTGGTGATGCCTAGGCATCGAGCTGGCGATGCCTCGGCATCGGCAGGAGGGTGCGCAAGATAGGCATCGATGGTTCAAGGTACCAGAGTCGCTGGGCCGTGCCAACCGACGACACCAGCAAAACACACGTCTTCACGACGGCCAGGAATGCGCAGTTTACCCTGGAGCACGCTTGCGCGCGAACCTGCAGGCCTGCTGGGCCGAGGATAGTCATGCGCACAAAGGTTGGACAACACAGTGTGTCTCCATCCTTCGTCGGTCGAGGGTGTGAGTCTCACAATGCAGCAGCATTCGGATGGGAAGTGAAGCTTCCTGGCTAAGTTTAGTTCGAGAACGTTGCCTGTAGGATTCGGGCTGCTTTGAACGGCGGGGCTCAGGGAGAACTTCAGCGACGGCTTCTGGCATGTAGGTGGGGGTATCACTCCATGGGGAAGTTCTGGGCCAAAAATCGCGTTCGGAAGCTCACGAAGACTGAGTTCTGGGCCGTGGTGCAAGGCGCCTTGTTGTCGGGGCTCACGGCCTTGACTCTCTCGGAGGCTCATCAACACCGACTTGACAGGGTCCCGGTGGGTTTGTACGAAAGCTCTTGGGATGTGACGCGTGCACGAAGGTAGAGGAGGTTGATGAAGTTGGCAATCCTGTCCTTGTGATGCGCTCGACAACCCAGTTCTACGGTATCGTGTTTTGGCGGATGTTGTCGGTCTTCGTCGTGTTTATGTCGGCCCGTCGGGTACGGAGCTGAGAGTGAGACATCTGCGGCAGTATCAGCGATGGATTCGGAAGCCAGGGTGTCATCCTCATGTCTTCGGAGCCCTCTTCGGGCAGCTGCCGATAGAAAGGGTCGCCACGCGGTGCGAGCAGAGCTGCCTGTCCGCGCGTGCGAAACCATATGCCAAACGATTTGCGTCCGACGTCCGGATCTTGGTGCAGAAGTGCTTGGGCGTTGCGTAATGGAGGGGTCATAAATGGGGGGGTGTCGCGGGTGGTCCGAAAAGGTACCCAAACGGTACCTAAACGAGCCCCCTGGGGCTCCAGGGGGCTCGAAAGGGGCACGAAAGGGGACCGTTTCTGACCCCCCATTTATGACCCCCCCATTAAGCAACGCCCAAAGTGCGGGGCCACGTGATTGGAGAATCGGCTTCTCACTGGTCCTGTTTCGGGGGTGCTCCTGAGGCTGCGCGTCCGGGCGCTGTTCATGGACGGGGACCTGCGGGCACAGTTCCTTGCACTGGATCCTTGGATCTTGCAAGGGCTCCCTCGAGGGCGCGAAGTTATTCGCGCTTCGCGGTCCTCGTTCCTTCTCCTCCTCCTCCTCCTCGTCCTCCTATTCTCCCTTTGGGAGGGCGGCGCGAGAGCGCGAAGTTATTCGCGCTTCGCGCAGCGCGAAGCGCGAAGTTGGGAGCCCTAGTCTTGAAAGCTGCTACGAAGACGGTGGCTACTCCTCCTCCTGTAGAGATGCATGGCCCTCCTGCGGCTCTGAGGCTCCTGAAGGTGATCTGAAGGGTTCCCCCGCCACCGGCATCGCAGTGGCAGTGCGACCTGGTGAATGAGAATTTTGTGGTTTGTGGGCGTATCTTTTGAACGCGTCGAGCTTTACTGGCACATCAGCGCTTCTCGGAGAACGGGGGTCACTCGCGTCGTTCGGTCGCCCGCGCCATTACTATCACCAGCGAGTGCGCCTCCTGTCGCCAGACCATTCAAACTCGGTCCAGGCTGCTGTCCTCAAGGGAATGCGTCCACCGAGAACCACGCCCTTCAACCACCCAGTCCAGGACCCCGAGAGCCTCCACTGTCCCATGGTCGAGATCACGTTGGCCTCTATCTGGGGTGTCGGGCAGGGCTCTCAGCGTCGGGTCTTACGTTTTGCTGTTCGCGCTCGAGGCTGTTTTTAGAGCCTAGCGGAGCCGCGACGCCACCTTCTCTCGCGCGCGCGCCCAGGGCACCACATACCTTTCTCGGTGACGATGTTCCACCTGGGGGAACAGCAGCTGGCCGAGGCGGGGCGTTCGCGCTCGCACGGCGGAGGACCGCGCAGGGGCCGATCTTACTCGGCAGCCGCTTCCCGCCAGCGCGGCGACAGGAGGGGCAAGCAGCCCGGCTCCCCGAGGCGCGGCGGCGCGCTTGGCCGCGGCGCGCGAGCGGCCCCTCGGGGACCAGCAGCGCCCAAGGCATGAGGCGACGCGCTGCAGATGGAAGTGGGCAGGTCCTGCCGGATCCCAGTGGACACGGTGGAGACACGGCCGCAAATGCAGGCACAGACGATGGCCAAGCTGTTCCCCGTCATGTGCGCGGTCCTGGGCAACCCGTTCATCCTGAGGATGTTGATGGCGGCGCAGTTCGTGACCATGACGATGGGGGCGGAGATGGTGCTCGCCAAGGCGGGCTTCACAGCAGGCCATGCACACGCCGCGGAAGCTGCTGGTCTCCGGGCGGAGTGCTAGAGCGATCCCGGCAAGCCTTTGCCAGAGGTGATGGGCCCAGCGCGCGCGCAAGTCTTCTTGGCAGTGTCAAGAAGACCAGCGAGCAGGGCGAGAAGGTCGGGGCTCGCAACGCTCGAGAGTGGGTGGTGGAGCAACAGAGTCTAGATGCAATGCAGTCGATCGCCGACCTTACCATGCTAGCGAAGGGTTTGAGGATACCGTGGTCCAGCGAAAATGGTCTTTGCGCTGCCGGACCAGCATATGGCTCAGGTATTCGCCGAGTGCGCCGCCCATGTTGGCGCGGAGCTGCGCTCAGGGCTGGCGCCGAAGTCCCGCAACGCGTGTGTCCCCCAGATGGCCCCCGGCGAATTCGAGGAGCATTGGCCGCTGGCGCTAGGGCGCAACATCCTGGCGTTGGCCTCGCGTTGCCAGGCGTTCGAGCACAACATCCTGGACTGGGGTCTCCAGGCTGACCGTTGCCAGGCGCTAGAATACAGTATCCCGGGGACGGCCTCGCAGGTTCGTCGTCGCCAGGCGTTCGACCGCCAAATCCGGAGCATGGCCTCTCAGGTTCCCAGTCGCAGTTTTGGCGGATTCGGTGAGCGATCGCGTGGCAAGCTGAGTGGTGATGAAGGGGCCGCGTCGGCTTCGATGGGACACGATGAGGTATTGAAGGGCCAGTATATAATTATATTGAAGGCGGCGGCGACTGCAATGACGAACACCAGCGGTATTTTGCAGACACGGGGCTGCTCCACAGAGGGCCGGCTCGTCACCGCAGATACTGTCCTCGCGACACGTCAAAGCGAAACTCAGAAGACGGCGAGCTTCGGGCCCGACAAGTTAGTTACGAAAGACGACGAGGCCGCACCGGGCGAAGTTAGTTAGCGAGAAAGCGAAAGCGCCGAGAGGACGCAAGGCTGAAGTTAGGATCTCCGCGTGGTAGCAGCATGGTCCGTTCGTGCATTCCACGTCCTGATCTATCGCGCTGGCAGAGCAGCGCGATGTCACGCGCACCAAAAAAACACCAGGGAGTGCTGCCACAAAGCGGAATCACATGCGCATGATAACCAGGATGAGCGCGCGATTCAATTGCGAATGCGATTCAGACTGCAATTCCGAAAACGGACGCGACATACCAAGTTATATTGCCAAAGGCCAACCTTGCCAAAGGCCAACCAAGTTACATACGGAGCATGAGAATGTGGTTGGACTGTTGCCACATCTTACATACTACGTGCCTTCCGTACCGAAACCATTGAATCCCAGTGGGCGCGCGATTCATAATTAGGTGAAGGCACGGCCGCAAGGGACAAGTTCAGGCGACGGCGGGAATGACTAAGCGCAGCGCAGAAAATAATAGTTAATTGTTAGGAAAGCGAAAGCGAAAGCGAAGCTCCCCCGAAAAAGTTAATAGTTAAGAAAGCGAAATCGAAAGCGAACCGCTCGGAAAAAGTTGATAGTTTCGCTTTGAGGTGTCGCGGGGACAGTAGCCAGACTGTCATCTCAGATTGAAGCTTTACGCCGAGGGAATGTCTGAGATCGGCGGCCTCGTCGACGGGGGCTTCCAGGCCTGAGCTTGGGAACCAGGCTTCGAAGCCCGTGCTGCTGCCGCAGCGGATGTCCCTCCACCCCCTCGTTTGGGTCCTCCTCTTTCTCGTTCTCGATCCCCCGCTCCGAGCTCCAAAGATCTACTGCCGTACTCCTCTCGTCTTTGAGTCTCTGGGCTTCTCTCCCTGGGCTGGGGCCTGGGGTAGGCCCGTCCTCTTCTAAATTTTTTGCGTGGGTGCCGCGCGCTGTGAGCCGTGACCGGGCGAGGACAAATCGGGGCTCTCACCCCCTGGAGGGGGCATTACGTCAACCGCTACGAAGATCGCACATAGCTGAATCTTGTTCTGCGTGTTTAGCAAGGGCTCCCTCGAGGGCGCGAAGTTATTCGCGCTTCGCGCTTCGCGGTCCTCGATCCTTCTCCTCCTCCTCCTCGTCCTCCTATTCTCCCTTTGGGAGGGCGGCGCGAGAGCGCGAAGTTATTCGCGCTTCGCGCTTCGCGCAGCGCGAAGCGCGAAGTTGGGAGCCCTAGCATTACGTCAACCGCTACGAAGATCGCACATAGCTGAATCTTGCTCTGCGTGTTTAGCTATGTTGTGCCACTGGCTGGACATTCGGTCCGATACCGTTTCGCCGCCGCCGCCTTTCCCTCTTTCTCTTCTATCCCGCTTCGTACGACAACAGCTCCACCCCGTCGCTTCCCCGACCGTCCCGGTAGGGCGGGCGGGGCGTTTTGCTTGAGACCGTTCATGATATTGAAGCTTACGCTTTGCAGCAGTTGCACTGATGGAGGGCCGGTCCTTTTCAACATGTGGTTCTCGCTTCAGCGCCGCGCGCATTCGTCTTCAAAGTCCAGCAGTTTCAAGGATATATGGCGGTGTCTTTCCAAACTGTGACTAGTCGTTTGCCGCCGCGCGCATGCGTTTTTGTTTTAAAAACGTGTGCAGCAGCTTCAAGGATGGAGGGCGGGCCCAATTCGAGGTACGGCTCTCGCCTTCGCGCCGTGCGCATTCCTTTGTAAACATAGAAGCAGTTTCAAGGAATCGCAGGGTTGATGTCCCAGGGAAACTGTTGCGGCATGATTTAAGGCTGTCACGGCGCACCAATCACGGTGATTCGCGGCGTTGGAATCCCAAAGTAGTGTTTTGGCGCGACTGAAGACTTGCAATCGGTTGTCTTTCAACGGGGTAGTCCCCGCAATGAAACTAGGTTTCTGCAGGGACCCGCGACGATGACATTTGGGAAGAGGGTTCATTGCAGTATGGTTGATGCGTCTTGGGTTTACAGTGTGTCCCCTTCTCCTCCTCCTCCTCCTCCTCCTCCTCTTCCTCTTCCTCTTCCTCCTCCTCCTCCTCCTCCTCCTCCTTCTCCTCCTCCTCCTCCTTCTCCTCCTCCTCCTCCTCCTCCTCGCCTCCTCCCCCATTTCTCCTCACCTCCTCTTCGTTCTCATGTCCTTCTCCCAACCCTTCACCCCCTCCGCAGCCGTTTTGCGTCAGGCACGGTGCTCGCGCCCTTCCCTCGAGAGGGGCCCCCCCGCGCGCCATCAGGCCACGCTCTTTGGCCAGGAGGCCAGAAACGGGCACATGTGGGTCACCCGCGGGGGCGCGGGGGTCGTCGCGCTGCGCGCGTCCCGGCCTGGGCCTGCCCGGCTGCCCTTCTCCAAAAGGGCGGCGCGACGTCGCGAGGGCGCGGAGAGGACCGCGCACCGCAGGGCGCGGAGCGCGAAAGTGGGTGACCTAGGCTTAAGTCGGGCGTGCCCCTCTACAGGAGGAATATGCAAAATAGTTAAACAATAGTCTGGGAACGATTGGTTGGACTATCTTTTAGCATGTTCCGTATATTCGTTGATCGTGGTTTATGTATCATCCCAAATCCGCCTGTAGGGGGACACGCCCGACCTAAACTTGGGCAGGTGAGCACACCCAGAGACCCGTGGCATCGAGAAGAGCTGCGTGCGACGGCGCGCACCGTCGGTCTCCCGCTTGGGCACCTGCCCTACCCCCAGAGGGGGGCCACGGGGAGGAGAAGGGCCCGGGATCTGGGAGGCCGGTCCCAGAGAAGGGTTGGGACCTCCGCCGGCTGCTCCTGCTCCTGCATGTGAGGGTGGCCTTTCGCCAGAGTCGCCTCTGGTGCGGGCCCAATGGCGTTAGTCGTAAGTGTTTCTCGCGTGTCTCCCAGTTCCTCCCTCTGGTTTCGTTATGGTTTTTCTTGGCCACTTCTCTGTCCGATCCGAGACATCCGCGGTGTTCATGTCATTGTTCGTTCTCCTATTCAAGGAAGGAGCCCCCGACCCACCTCGCACATCCTGCGCACCGCGGCCGCCAGGTCCCAAGGGTCTTGGTGCTCCCTGGGTATCCCGCCTCGCGTCTTCGACGAGTGACGACTTCATACAGCTGCCTCCAGGCCCGAAGGGGCCCTGTGCTCCCTGTGAATCCCGCCTTGCGTTCGCGGGTGGGGATCGCTCGAAGCAAAATTCAGTGGGCACATCCAATAAGAAATTGGCCTGCCTGCAGGTGCCCCGATGGATGCTCTTGTCCGCCGATGGCCCTGAGGACCCACAGGGGCACTTCAGCACCTCAGAAGCTCAGAGACTCGGTGTGCCCTTAGATGCTATAGACGTTCTACGATTGGGCTTTTCGTATCGTGTGTGCCTGCAGTAGTTCTGTTGCTTCTTGCCCTCGTCGCCCCCGCGCCCAGATGAGCTCGTCTGCCCTCCGTGTTTCGGGAGGCCGCCATGCCCGCGGAGGCCGAGCGACCCAACGTCGCCTGCGACGCCTGCGCGTGCGGGCAGCTCGCCAATGCCCCGCGGTCGGTGGGGCTCCCTCGCGGCCCTGGCGTCGCCACCGGTCCCAGACCTTCAGCGTATGCGTAAAACGAGACGGCGGCTTTTTGCCTGTTTGGGTCTTTGGGGGCCCTCGCTGGGCCCCGTGGCCGTCCACAAAGACGATCCGGGCCGAAGAACGGGTCGCTGGGGAAGTCATTCAGAGTTCTGGAGACCCCGTATCCAAAACATCAAGAGATCGGTGGTCTGGGATCCATCACCATGGAGAAGCCGAAGGTCCCAGGCTCGAGAGTCGAGTTGTCGTTGCCCCCAGAGGAGGGAACACACACACACACACACACACACACACATATATATATATATACATATATATATATATATATATATGGGGGATTCCGACCCCGGGGACCCGCAGGGCCCCCCCCCTTGTACGTAGGTAGTGCCCCCCTCCTAGGAGCCCTCCGGGACCCGCCCCCGAGGCTCAGAGCAGCCCTAAGTCCGCCCAAGATTGTTAACAGATGGCCCAAGAGCTCTCCAAGACGCACCAAGAGGACCCCAAGAGCGCTCCAAGACGGCCCAGGAGGCCCCCAAGGGTGCCCGTGAGGCGTCCGAAAAGCTCCGCGAGAAATTCGAATCTTTCACAAACCAGCGGGAAATCTATATTTTTGGACTCAGAGGCCCTCAAGACGGCCCAAGAGGCCTTCCAGAAGGTCACCAAAAGGCAAAAACAGCCAAATTCCTTTCGGAAAACGTACGTTTTTAGCATATTCGCTTCTTCGGTCCTAACAGCGCCCAAGACGGACCCACAGGCCCCCAAGACGGCCGTAAGACGACCCAAGAGGCCTCCAAAACGGAACACGGCCCATGAGAGCCCCCCGACGGCCCACGACGGCCCCCAGAGGTGTTCAAAAGAGTCCCCAGGGAGCCCCAAGAGGGCCACAGAAGGCACCCTCGACGGCCCAAGAGGGCCCCAAGAGGGCCCCAAGACGGCCCAAGCGCCCAAGACTGTCCAAGAGGGCCCCGGGACGGGCCAAGAGGGCCCCAAAGAGCCCCAAAGAGCGCCAAAAGGACCCCCAAGAAGGTCCCAAGAGGCCCCCAGAGACTCCCACAACGCCCCCAAAACGGTCCCAGGAGGCTTCCCAGTGGTCACCCGTAAGCGTATGGGAGGTCTCGCTTCGACGTCCTGCACGAGGCTCCCAGAAAAGGCTTCAAGAGGCTCCCGATTCACGATCCATCCCAGGGCTTCAGAGGCCTCACAGAAACATGCCGCGTGGCCCACAGAAGCACCCAAGACGCCCCGAACTCACGATCCAGGTCAGGGGTGTATTTACTGCCATGGGCGAGGCGGCGGGATGCGAACGTTGGCTCTGGAACCGTCGGTGGAGCTCCCTGTTGATACGATTCGTGTGAGGAGACAGTCGGCATACGCGTGGGGGGGACGTGACGTTATGCGAATCCCCGCACTAAGGCTGCACGTGAAACAACATCCTTCTGGGGCACGATTCGTGTGTTGTGTGTGCCGAGATGGGCGGAGCGACGCCGTGCGAACTTTGTCCCTGGACCCGAAAGAGGAGCTCCCAGGGGGACAAGATCCGTGTGAGTGCCATGTCGAAATTGACGGGGGGGCGCCATGTGAACCCCGCCTTCATCTGGGGCCGTAGGTCTCGCTTCCATCCGCATGATCGGTACTTTTTCACCTCGAGCTCAAGCCAGTTGTGGGTCACTGCTTCAGTGGAGCTGTGACCTTCTCAAGGGATGGGGCTGTTGAGAACGCCCTTCTTGGGGCTCATTGTGGGCCTCTGCGTTTTTTGTCGCGCTGAGGAGGCACTTCCTTGGACCCTCTCTTTCTGTCGTTATCTTCGGGCTTTCTTGGGGCGCCTCTTGGGGCCCTCCTGTGCTTCGTTCTGGAGCCTGCTTGGAGCTCTTTCGGGGCCACGCTTGGGCCCCCCTTAGCCTCTCTCGGAGAACTCATTGGATGTTCATGGGTGCCCTTTGACCCTGTCTTGGGCTCCCCTTGGGGTCCGCTTGGGCTCTTCCCAGGGCGGCTCGTCCCTGGGATCTCTGAGTTCCGTGACGCCTCGGACTCTCTCGGTCTTTTGTCTTATCGTGCATTGTATTGCATTGCATTCATGTGCAATTGCACTGTTTCGTGATCCACATTGCATTTATGAGCATCGCTTTCCTTTGCTTTGCATTGCATTCATAGCCTTGTATGTGTTTGGCTAAACTGGCTTGCATAGCTTCGAATTGAACACTGGAGAGGCCTTACTGCTGGTGCCGCCGACCCTGAACGACGACGGCGGCGACGACGACGACGACGACGACGACGACGACCAAGGGGGGTCGCTCCCCCCTGTGGAGGGGGAGACTGGCCCGTGGGGGGGGGCTCCCTCCTGTGGACGGGGGGAGCATGGGACGCTTGGAAGGGGGGGCAAAGCTGGGACGCTGGGGGGAAGGGAGGAGAGGCTCTCTCCCCCCGGTTCTTGGGGGGGTCCCGGGGACCCTCCGCCACATATTCGGGATCGGCAAAACAATAACAGGAGCCCCACGGGCCCCAGGGCACCCCTCGGGACCACCCCCCAGGACCACCCCCCGAGACCACCCACCGGGACCACCCCCCGGGAGTTGCCTGGGGACACCCCCGCCCGCTGGGGAAGGGATCAAGGGATGGTGCTTCCCTTCGTTGTTCGATTCGATTTCGTATTGGCTGGATCGGTTGAGGAAGAGGGCCCGGGGAAAGGGGGAAGATGGCGAGGGCGACGACGACGACGACAACGACGACGGCGACGGCGACGACGACACCGACGACGACAAACGGAAGAGCGCCTCACACACGCCGACAGGGTCGGCTGATTAAGGAGCATATGACATTGTCGGTGCTTGGGTTCTGTTCGGCCAGCATTATGGATGCTTCTTGTACCTCATGCTTACACCATCAATGGGTAATCACTTCAGTGGATACGGGACCTCCTCAAGGGATGGGGTCGACTAGAACCTAAGCGCGCGCGAAGCGCGCGCGCGTGGTTCTAGTATATATATATATACACAAGACTGCATTGGCGCTTCGCGCCATGCACCTTGGTCCTTGAAGTTTGGCATGCAGGCGGAATAGCAGGAAATTCAAAGCGACAACTTAACGATAACTACTGGTTGCCTTTTCTGGCATCGCCGCTATAATAATGTCATTCGTTATCCTTCCTCCATGCTTCTTCTTCCTTATTTTCGCCATACCCTGCGCATTCTCCCCATCCTCCTCAGCTCTTTTTTGCGGAGGCTCCTCCTTGGAGCGCCTCTAGGGGCCTCACAAAATTTGTTTGAAGCCTTCTTAAGGCCTTCTGGAGGCCTCCTGGGCGTATTCTGGGGGCCTCTGGGGGCTTCCTCGGGCCACCCTGCCTCCAACCGCGGTCTCCCTGAACGACCGAATCACGATTTGGAATTCTTCGGAGGGTGTCTTTGGGCCATCTTGGGCCGCCATGGGGCTCTCTGAGGGCCATCTTGGACCCGTGTTGTGCCGTGTTGGGCCCCTCTTGTACTGCCTGGAAGCCCTTTCGGATGGTTGCGGGGCGATTTTGGAGCCTCCCAGGCGGCTTCGGACGCCCAGAAGACCGCCATCTTGGAGCGTCGGGAATCCGAAAAGAGGAGAACCCCACAATTTACCAAAAACCAACAAAAGATCAATGGTTCTTGCCTCGGGGGGCCTTCTTGGGAGTGCTCTTGGAGGCCTCTTTGGGGCCGTCCTGGAGGCCTCTTGGGCCATCTTGAGGTCACGTCGGTTACTTTGGAGCGCTCTTGGGCTGTTTTGGGTGTCTCTGGGACGTCTCCGATGACCCCCCTGATCGCCCTAGGTGTGCTAGGAAGGCTTGGCAAAACGCTCTGTGAGGCCCGGTGGCCGCTTCGAGGCCCGTCCGGAGGGTCCCAAAACCCCAGATCCCGGGAGTCCGTTTTTTTTTTTGGGGGGGGGGGGGGTGACGGGTTTCCCCCCCGGCCTGGCTTATAACAAGATAAGCATATATATATATATATATATATATATATATATATATGTATATAGATATGTATATATACATGTATACATATATATAAATATATGTATATGTGTATATATAAATCTATAGAGACAGCCCCCCCAGCAACCATTCTTCGTTTTTTTTCCTTTCCACTTTGTCTTTCGCATCCCTTCCTCCGCTCCCAGAACTGGAGACAGAGAGAGAGAGAGAGAGAAAGAGAGAGAGAGGGGGGGAGACTCGAGGGAGCGGCGATCCTTGTGAAATCACAATGTTTGCGAAGCCTGGGGGCACCAAGCCCTGATATTTCATTTGGATGTTTTGGATTTCTGGGTCAAGAATCCCAGAACCCCTGTGATTTGATTTGGACTTTTGGGATTTTCAGTCCCAGAGAAAAAAACCAAACGACGACGGGGCTCCCCAGGACTGGAGGATTGAAAATCCCGAAAATCCCAACAATCCCAATTCAATCACAGGGGTTCTGGGATTCTTGACCCAGAAATCCCAAACATCCCAATGAATTAACAGGGTTTGGTGCCCCCAGGCTTCGCAAACATCGTGATGTCACAGGGGGCGCCGCTCCCTCGAGTCTCTCTCCCTCTCTCTCTCTCTCTCTCGCAAATTACAAGCGACACCGACGGCCCAAGACCATGGTTTTGTAAGAGAGGGGAGGAGGGAGGACGCCATATTCACAGCACAAGTGACGAGTTGGAGACTACGACGGATGGGCCGTACCCATTGCATGTCACTAAAAGACCTCAGCAATGCCTTCTCGAGTTCCTTATGGACGGAGCTGGATACGACAGTATCTTTGTGTGCCTCCCCATACGATGCCGACTTGTGCAGACAACGGTACAGGAATGCGATCATCGAGTTGGAATCGTGCGACGGCCCGTTCTGCGTACGTCCTAGGTGCGGAGGTGTGATGGGGGACCCGTTCACCGTGCAGGGTTTCCTGGGAACTTTCGGACGGGCCACAACAGCATGGGGACACCACGTTTTTACGCACGGCCG